AGCGTCGAGCGGCTAGCCGGTCTCATCTCCGAAGAGGTAGGTAAAAGAATTGAGAATGTCCCCACTTGCGGAAGCTGTGGGAGAAATTATGCTGTCTCAGTGACGGTTGATTCAGGAAAAGGTGGCTGCAAGCGTAGTGGCAGCCGCAAGGGGGATCCGTGCTTTTGGCGTTGTGGGGAAGTTGACTCACTGGGGTTGAGGAACAAGGATGAGGCTGTCGATGAAATGCTTGATGAAGCTCTTGGAAAAGGTGGGCGATGCATGGGTTTAGGCGGTGGGAAGATTTACACTGTGTTCGTGGGGGTGAGCGATCTGCAGGAGGGGGTCCGGATTGTGGTGGGAAAGTATCGACATGCTTGGATTGTGGGCAACGTTGAGGAGAATGATGCGAGCTTGTTGATTACAAACATTTTTTTGAAGTATTTTGTGAATGGAGGACGGGAGGAGTTAGTGGAGCAGAGGAAGGGAGAGTTTGTGCCAGTTGGATTGGATGGCAGTGTCGTGCTATCTTTTAGTCTTTTGAATGCTAACCCTAATGATTGGGTTTATGGCTGGTATGTTTGATTTCTTTTAAAGCTTTTATTGTGGCCTATTAATTTACCTTTCAAGTGTGCATGCAGTTTGTGATTGATTATTGTTTTTAATTTTTTGTGCCACTTTTCCTTTTTTCCTGATCATCTAAGTTCTCTCATTTTTAAAGACTATCAAGCTTTTTTGATCTATCACGTTATAATGTTGTTGGTCCTTATCTTGAAATTTCGTGTATGATTAAATATGATTTAGTAAATACAGTAAATTCGTATTTATCAAGTCCAATGTTGTTAAATCCAGAATAGTGTTTGATTAAGTTAATATTAAATTCAAGTAAATCTGGTTAAACTATTTGGCTTGTTTTTTATGATTTAACCGCTGAGGAATTCTTTGTCCACTGTATAATCATCTTTTTACTCAAAACTTTTTTTTTACTCTCCTTGACTCTGTCTCTAATGCCTTTATTCTCTATCGGAAACTCTCTATGCAGAGCTCTCGTATGCGTTTCTTTCATCCCATTGGCTTCTCCTTTGTATCTTTCATTCTTTTACTTCTCGTGGTGAGACCGCTCTGATAAAGTCGAGGACAGACAATGAGGTGATCACGTCAAATCCACTTAAGCTCCATTCTTTGTTTCGCTACTGGTCTGGACGTGACTGAAGGGGAGGACGATTGACTTCTTTCTCGTCCTCCCTCTTTGTCTTCAGTGGATAGATCATCTATGTTGTTATTGAGCCCTAAATAAATTGAGAGAATGAAGAAGTCTTCTATTGCAGCTTAGATTTGCGCGCTCAGTCACCTTGAAGAACAGTCTGTTTGAAGTTGACATCGGACAACAAGGTGATCACGTTGAATTCTTCCTTCGAGGCACTGTGCAACCTGGGAAGGGACAACGAGAGTCGTGTGAGTGTTTTTGTCCGTTAGCTAAATCCCTTAAATCCAGCTAGTAGTCAGATTTAGTAAATCCGGATTTACGAAAAAAGTGATGGAACAAAGAGAAAATTGGATTTAACAAAGTGGAGAATTTAAGTTTTAACTTTTTTGCATTAAATAAAACCATAAATCTTATTAAAAGTATGCTACCAAACACCTCCTTACTCTGTAACTTGCTAATGGCTATGAGCAGAAACTTTGGCCTTTCCAGAGATTTCATTTTCATCGTTGTGAAGAGACAAAATGCGAAATGAATATATTTGTGAAAGGGTTGGTGTAGCTCCAGTGACAGACAAGATTAGAGTGTGCCGTCTTAGGTGGTTTGGTAATATTAAACGTCGACCATATGATGATTTGGTTACGAAAGTTGATGTTTTGGATTCGACTTACGTTAACAATGGTAGAGGCATACCTAAAGAGATTTGGTGATGTTGTATAAAAAATGATCTTAATTTATTAGAATTAAATGAAAATATGACAGCTGATAGGTCACAATGGAGAAAAGGGATTCATGCCGCCGATCTCACTTAGTGGGATAAAGACTTGTTGTTGTGGTCTTGAATTTTAAACTAAATGAAAAAAATCTAACTTTCTCTCCCTAAGAAGAATTCTAATTTAATTCTAGTAGGCTCTCAAACTCAATAACTAATTGTAACTCATGACCCGTATTTTTCTATTGGAAAACATGATGACGTTGGAACATTATATCTATTAAACATTTAGAATCAAGTAGGCAGTACGATAATATAGGATATGATGAAGTGTTTAATTCCAATTTTTGGGATAAATTTTAAATGTCAATATTAATTAAATTTGGTTTGTACTTGAGTAAAAAAAAAGTTTTATATAAATGTAATCGTAAGTGTAACATGTAAAAGTAAGCATAGGGAAACCAACTAATAGTATTGTATCAATCAAGCTATAACAAGAGCTTGAGAAGACTAACAAAACATGAAAAAGTAATGGTAGAAACAATTACATATGCAAAGATTACCCAAATATAAAATAAAATATTGAATACAATAACTGCTGTTGAAATGTTTGTTATTCTAGTGATGATCCATCAAGCAACTTGGCATAATCTATTACAAGAAAAAATTTACAACCCGTGAGTTTGAAATTTTAAACCGTATAAGTTACTCTAATTTATGAGCATAAACAACAATGTACGGGGCATGCACTCTGCAATAAATATCTTAAAGTCGTTAAGTTAGGACAATGCTACTTGTTGTAATAGAATAATTGCCATATTTCTTCAGGTGATCTATAGTATGGTGATGATTATGATCATTTATATGAAAAATTGCAAGCAATATACTTCTATGCTTTCATACGTATGTCAAATACATCAGGCATATTCGTGCGTATGCAAAAATGACAACTAGTCCTTTATCATATCATCTTCGTATATATTTATATATTTATTAGTTAGTTCTCTAAGATACCTTGTAGTTGAGAAAGTATGCATCATTTCATGAAAATTTATTGATGCTCAAAAAAGTCTTCACTTTATGGACCCATCAACCCGACTAGACAATACTCAAAAGGTTTTTACCAATCTATACATTAACTACAAATGTATAGGCACATATTTTATTTTTGTAATAAGAAAGTATATAATAGACATTTTATAATCGGTATAGCTAGAGTTAGCTTCATGATAAGATATGTCTTCTTATGAATAAAATTGATTGTATTCAATAGAGTTACTGTGTAAAAATAAATCTTACTATCATAGAGACCATTTCTACATTTCAGACTTTATTAAGCAATAGATCAAGCCATGGTTATTTGCAAGTATGATATCTCATTGTGAATATTATCTAAGACATACACTTTACGTATAGGAATGACTAAATATGAAGGCTTGACTTGCAACATACGAATACCTTAAAATTTTTTTACAAGCATAAAGGGGTGCGCGCGCGCGCGCCTGCCGCAAGCTTAGCTATGGAATTTTAGGCACATAGCACAAGCTCTCATCATGGGGCCAAAAAACTCATGGGAAATCAATATTTGGGCCTCTGCCAAATACCGATTTTCTTTAATATATATATATAAAGCACCATGAATGATACGGAAGTCCAAGTTTAACTAAGATCCAACTAGTCACACCTAGTTAATAGTAAACTCAAAGATCCTATGCATTGAAAATTCGAAATCAATTACATTGACGCACATAAGCATTAAAAATTTGATTCCCAATAAGGTCCATTTTATTCAGAATTATTTCCGAAAAGTTAATATGAATTAGTTATGATTATCATGGAGTAAACCTAATAATATTAAATCTCATAGCATAATTCTTCTTGAAGCTCATTAAAATAAAGCCTAAATAAAAAAATAATGATAACTAATAATTTCTATAAATTTCTAATTTAGATTATAAGAAAAGAGGGGAAGGAGGTTAACGTTTAGTATATTGTAAGTATTATATTATACTTGAAATTTATATAACATAAATTTACTGTAACTACTAGAAGTTATTTTGAGAATTTATTTTGTTGGTAAGCCTGTGAGCCACTGGAACTATGATGCTAACTTGTAATTTTTATTCCTTTACATCTTAACTGATTATGCTTTTCATACTGTACTAGAAATATGCAATTCTTGAAGTGCACTGCTAATACATGTAACTACCCTACACTTTCCCATTTGCTGAATCTTACCGCTCTTTCGATTTCCAGGGAATTTCAGAAGATAGATGAGGTTATGTTGGCTCCAATTGTGGAGGCCTTAGCACCAGTAGCAAACATACATATAGAAAGTCAGGTGGGCTGTATTTTTGTATATATTGTAGAGATATGAATATTATACTCATAATTCACTATTTTTATTTGCAGTCACTTTTGTAAAATAGAGTTCCTCTTATTTAAACTTTTTGTAGTTCACCTGCAGGTTCTGTACCATACTCCAAAATCATCTATTTCCAGTTGGCGTGATAAGTCAGGGGACAACATCTTTGGCATAGGGGATCTTCCTTTCTTTGTATGTTTATCGAACTAAAATTTAAGAAGCGTTTTTATTGAAGTTATATTTATTATTTTAAACTTAGTTGTTTTGTATAGTTTATTGCATTTAAATCTGTTGGTAGTGGTCATTTTACTGCTTCTAAATGGAAAACATATTTTAGAAAACGAGTCTATTTTAAGAGGGAAATTATTAAGTGAAGAGAATTAAATAAATAAGAAGGGTTACGATTATGGTATTATATAAGAGCCTAACAGAGATTACTGAAAAATGTAATGAATGCTTTTGCAATTCTTAAATTTGGTTTTGTTGGGGGGGAGGTTTTGCCTCTGGCAGTTTCCTAAGGTGGAAGGTATTGGTTTTAGACTTGTTGTGTCAATTTTTTATTTCCACTAGTAGTTTTTTAAGGTGGAAGGAACTGGTGTTAGACCCTATCGTGTCAAATTTTTGATGGCTTATAGCCACATGGAAGTGATGTGATGGCATCGTGGTTGAGAACAAGTGGATGTATTCCATTCGTGTACGGATAGATGCACACATTTCATGTCTTGATGGTGTGATTAATCCAACCATGATTAGTTTTTGTATTGAATGAGATGATGTGGCGATTTTGTAATTTGAAGGATGTTTGGATGGAATGGTAGTATTTAGATTTGAGTCTTATGTAGTTTTTGCTTTTTGTTGTAATTGGGTACAAATTAAGGGCCCGTTTGGGGCAGCTTATTTGGTGCGGTGACGTTTTGAAAATGTACCTGATCTGTTTGGGTAAACTGCGTTTTGGCAGCTTATGCGTTTTCAAAACGCAAAAAACAACGTTTTCACACCGCACGTTGGGAGCTTATTGACAATGGTCTGACTTTTCCAAAAAAATAAAAATTTGTAATAGTCACCGCACCTAGTTTATCAGCATCTAGGTTATCAGCAGATTATTTTTAATGAGCTTATCAGCAGATTATTCAATAAGCTACATCTGCCCCAAATAGACTCTAAAATTTCTCTTTTTGGCTTCCTGTAAGAAGGTGAATTCTTCAGTATTTTGGTTTAAGAGGAAATGATTCCAAGTAAAGAAGATTTATTTTTTGGGTCTTATTATAGCTTTAGGCCTAAGAAATGATTTCAAATGATTGAAAAAATATTCATTGTAGTACTTAAAGGAAAAGGTGCTTGTTTGGATTATCATAATTGTCAAGAAATTAAACTTATGGTTTAGATGATGGAACTATAATAAAGTGCAATGAAAGGAAAATTAATTGAGTTATGTTACTAAAAGGCCTATTACAAAAGGTGCTTGTTTGGATTGTCATAATTGTCAAGAAATTAAACTTATGATTTAGATGATGGAATTATAATAAAGTGCAATGAAAGAAAAATTAATTGAGTTATGTTACTAAAAGGCCTATTATGGAGATAATTTTGTGTTAGGATTATTTGTGAAAAGCTATAGGGAACTATAAAAAGGCCGTTTGAGGTTTTTATTGATCTCAAAAGGCAAATTAATAGGTACCACAAAAATTGATTTGGGGATCGTAAAGAGTAATTATGTTACATTCATTTTGAAATTAATCAAGATATGTACAATGAATTAGTGATCATCATATTGAGATTTGTGGAGAATTAGTTTTCAATTATAGTAGGGTTATACTTAGGACAAGAGATGAGAAAGTGAGTGAAGGAGAGAAAGATGGAAGGTGAGAGAAGAGGGTGAGATAGGGTGGGGTAGACAAGAATTTGAGGGAGGAGGGCGAAAGACCCAGTATGAATGAGAATTATTGAAAATCGACAGGATGGGGTGAGTTGAAACATATAGAAAAATCCCAATAAATAATAATATAATTTCAATAATATTTATCCATCTATAAAATCACTAGAGCATCTAAATCCATCAGAACCTATTTATATTTCTATCCAAAATGTAAATGGAGCTTAAGTATAACAATAACTTATTCAAGGAATTAATCTTTATTAAATCAATTAAATGATTTCTACCCTTGTTCAAATTCTATGATATATCTAAAGCACAAGTTTCGAAAGTTTCTTTTAGATGATATACAACTAATACTTTAACAATACTAAAACAATAGATTTGAGTTTAAAAACAATAAATGCAATAGGTGAAACTTATTGATTAAATTATAAATGGTAAAGTGCATGGCATAAATATGATTAACGAAAGTTGCAGAAATAAAAATAAATATTGTTTTATAATAATTATAGAAACTAAAATATATTATTTTTAAATATGGAATCATTTAATGGTTCTTGTTATGCGTTATAGTTCATAAAAAAATCATACACGAATTGATGATCATTACATTTAATTATTAAACCACTCATTTGCATGAATATTATATATTACATCTATAAATAACTTCAGTATCGTAATAATTTTATATTTATTTATTCTTATTCGTAGTAGACCTATTAAGATACCCTGAACTGGAAGATTTTTACTAACCCATGTAAATCTAATAATTCTCAAATGATTCATCACTGTGTGGACTCACATGTCCAACTAGTCTAGCTTAGAGGCTTTTAGTGATAGAACATACTTCACAAAAGCATACATTATATAAATTTTATATTATAGTAAATGTTTTGTAATGGAAACTTTATAATATTATGACTAATATCTTCTATATATCAATACAATTCATGATTTGCATGTCGTATAGTTATTTCTCAACAATCAAGATAATGTACATAGGTTTAACAAGACAAAGCTAACTATAATATCATATCAAAACGAAGGGATGAAATACTATGAATAGTTAAAGCATATTTTGTAATATTTTGTAAAAAAATATAGTATATAATCAAATATTAAGGAATAACCTCCAAATGAGAGAGCAGGTTTATCCCTTAACCAGTAAAAAGTCACATACTTTATAGAGACCATGTGAAATCCAATATATCTTTCACTACATTGATTTTTTATGCTCAAACAATGGTGCTCCATAAACCCTAGATTCCAATGCATCTAGCTCAGTCATCATCCAGTACATTGAATAACAAACATTAAATTACTAAAAAAACTAATTAAAACACATGATTATTATCAATGATGTCCTAGAGTTCCTCAAATTTATATTCCCTTATTAAACAAAATGATCATGAATTATTTAGTACTTTCTATGTAGAAATCCTTCCCCATATGTTCATGAAATCATCTATACCCCTTTTAGATTCAATTTTCTAACCATCCATTTAAAAAAATTAATTACAATGGCTCAGTCATGCTTGTTCGGGCTCTCCTCTTGCTTACGCTATTCTCTCTCCTTGTCACTACTTGTTCATGCCA